TGTAATAATATTCACGCTCCAATCACTCCTGCACAAGGGGAAGCTTTACTTAAGAATGATGTGATTTCTAAAGAGGATTGCGTTAAAAGACTTACCACTGCTAATATCAATTCAAATCAATTCTCTGCTTTAGTTTGTTTTACATTTAATCTTGGATGTGGTGCCTATGAAGATTCTTCTATACGTAAAAAACTTAATGCTGGTGATATAAAAGGTGCTGCTAATGATTTTGCTTTATTCAACAAAGCTGGAAAAACAGTACTTAAGGGTCTAGTAAGACGTCGTAAAGCTGAGAGAGATTTATTTTGCAAAAGTGGTGGATGTTAATGTGTCCTTTTAATTTATACTTGTTTATTTAATAGAGTATTTTAAATTATAAAGGTTTGAATTTATATATATTATAAAGATGCTAGTTTATCAGTCATTATTATATATAGTAAATATTTATTATAATTATAATTATCACTTTGAGGCGTTTATAAAAATATATTCTTTGGCCTCACCTTTGAAGATTAAAAAAATAAATATATAAATAAATAAAAATATATACTTGTCGATCTCGATCATTTTCAAAATTTTACATGATTATGTAAAATTAAAGTTAATAAAATTGCTTATATTAAGGTTATTGATAATTAGTAAATTTCACAAAAAGCATTCTTAATTAGGTAGTAAAGATTATTAAAATTTTGCTATTTATGTTTTTTTTCTATGACTTAAAGTTTTGATCAAAATTTCGAAATTAAGATCGACTTTTTGTGTTACATATCACTTTACAGAAAATTACAGACATCTTATTTTATTGACAGCCAATTCATAGCAGTTCATTTCATACAGTAGATAGTTTATTTTACAGAAGGCTCATTCCATAGACACTATTTAATAGCGAATAACTCTGATCAGTGTTTGAAATTAGTGTTCTCAGAGTTCTCAATTATAGATGTGTGCAGCCTAAATTTTTTACTGTTCACTATTAAAATTTTTTGAGAACAGTAATACAATAATTGTGTTCTCATAAATATACGTATAATAATGGCTAAATAGAATTATCATGCTAAGCCAGAAGTTGATGAGTATAACTGATCACAATATACTAATATATGTAATTCTGATATGATGTAGTTGTATTAAATTCGATAAATTAGATACTATTTTAAAGATATCTATTTGCTAATATGTATGATTAATTCATAATTACTTCGATCATTATATTTATAATTTTATTGTTCGCATGAGAACAGTATTTGAGTTCGAAATTTCAAACACTGTTCCTTGATATATTAATCCGGTTTGGATTTGATTGCAAAAATATTCATCCTGATGAGACGATTCTAAAGAGCCTAAAATCGCTAAAAATATAATTACGGGACCCCGAGATAATTAGGGTTTTGTATCAGTTTAGGTATTGACAGCAATATTAATATATAAACCGATGCAAAACCTTAATTATCTTGGGAATCCGTGTTTGGATTTTAGCGATTTTGGGTTTCTCATCAAGATGAACATTTTGGCAACAAATAATCCAAAACGGACCACTAAATTTGGAGATATTCACTGTTAAAGATTGTTTATGAAATGAACTGTAAAATAAACTATGAACTGAACTATCTATAAATTAATTATCTTTAACTTGCCATGAATTAATTGTCAATAAAAACTAGTAATGCAAGATAATTAATTGTACATGTGTAAAAATAATTCTAATAATTCTAAAAACGATCTACAATTCTACAATGCAGCAAAATTGGAGAAATGATAACAATAATTATTAATGATTGTCGCAGATCATAATGAAATCGGATTAAAATGAAATGAGGGGTTTCTATTTGAGCCCTTAAAACCCACTTATACTTGTTTATTATAAAATCTGCTTCTAAACCCTAATCCTAACCCTAAAAAAATGCTAAAAAAA